GTGCCTGCTACTGTTCTAAACAGTTTATAAGAGTTAACATATTTAACTCTCTTGGTATCTATATAAAATAGTTTCTACTGTTATGCCCACTACATAGAGGAAAATTTTAAGCCACAGGTAGGCAGGTCTCTTGCCCAGAATCACTCAGATAATTGGCCTTGGACCCCCCTCTAGTGGCTGAACCTAGTTGTGTCACACTGTCCTTCCCAATGAGTGCTGCTTCTAAGAAATCTACCTCAAGAAGTGTGTGTGTGTGTGTGTGTGTGTGTGTGTGAACAGCTTGATAACTCTAGTAAATCAGGAATTAGAAGGTGAATATCCACCTTGGTTTAAAAACTATATGGTTTGTGTTGGGATTTGGGAAGGTAGGAACAGTTTTATTTGATTTCTGGTCATGATCGGTAAGTTCACGGGTGCTGAGCTCTTATGGTTGCCATAGGTCCTGCTGCATTTCTCTAATTCTTTCACTCTTTCCTCTCCCTAGAAATCATCTTTTTTCTCCTTACTCGTCAAGATGCCTTTTCTCTTCCTCATTTTCTGTTGATGACCTTGCTCTCTAGCTCAGCAAGAACAACACAAGCAATTAGAACTTCCACATGTTCCCACTATCACATCTATCATGCTCCCTATGTGGGTAGCAATATGCCCTATCTTCCCTCATAATACTGCTTATGGACTATCTTTTTCCCTGTCTAGGGCCAACCCTAATGCATTAGATCACTTCCCCTCTCACCTCAGAGATATCACTTAAATTATCTCCCTTTCATCAGCTTACAAATATACTGTACTATTGTTCTATATTTGAAAAACCCTCCCTTGACCTACATTTCATCCAGCTGCTTCCTCATTTCTCCTTCATTGTCTGCACTAGAACTACTGCCAATGTCCTATAGCCAAAAACCACCAGTAACAGACCCGTAGTTAACCAAAGCTGGGTTTAATTACTCATTGCAACAAAGAGGAATGCATCCAGAGTTGTTGGGCATCTCAGTAAGAGGATGTTAAAAAAGACATATTGTTGGAGTTTGTGTTAGACGCTGTGTGGAAGAGTTAAAGAAAACAGGGCTTTGCTATGAGTTAGATGCTGTCAGGAAGTGAGGATAATTCTCTGATCGAATATCTTAATAAAGCTTTAAGGCAGAAAGAATAAAGGGAAGATAAAGTCATTGAGTACATTACACACATTGAAATTTAATCAAGGGTTAAGATAGAACTTTAGCTTCAGGGACAGATATTTAAAGATATTAATAGTATTAATTGCACGTAAAATTGTAATTATATCTTATCTTTTGCCAACCATTAAAGCAGACAAAGTATGGGGCATCTCATTTTATTTTATTTTATTAATGCATACTTTGTCAATTTTACCCTCTGCTTACATATGGTAATTTAAATTTCTTAAAAATTCTTGAATATACAAAATTCTTCACTCACATAGTCTGACTCATAAGTTAAAATAGTTTTTGACATCAAATAGTTGAACCTGCTTAGCAATGGCTCAAATCATTAGGATATTTATTATTTTCTTCAGTACAATACATGATAAATAGCCCACTTAAAAATCCCATCATAAAGTTTGCTATAGCAGCCATAGTTCCAGTTAGCATTTTCTAAAGAAAATCTCTAATCTTAAATTAATGTGTGGATTTCCACTAAGTGAATCTACACCAATCCAATCAGATGTCATTCACATCATAGGAAAAAGTGATAATGTTTGTTACAAACTTTATAGAGACTTATTTGACAAACTAATAGGTTTATAGGAAAATTAGCTACTGCCAACTCATATCCTGTTGGTGAATATAAATATGCTATAAAGCATCTCTAAGAATTTTATAACAAAAAGTATACGGTCATATAGAAAAAGGAAGTAGGGATTAGCGGCTGTTTGGCGGTCACTATAGAAATTATTTCCAAGCTACCTTATATGCATCAGCATTACCATGTGTAAGCTGCTTATGGTGATTTATCTAATTATCTATTTTAATCTGTCTTGGGTATTAAAATACTGCTATCTCTATTTAATATTCTATTTCTACTGTAATCAAAGATCCCATTTGTTATTCACAAAATATATGAAAGGAATTTCACTTTTTGGTCCGGCAGAGGCTAAATTGGCCTTCAGGTTGTAGTTTCATAAAAGCAGATGCATTGCATTTCTATCTCTTTATTTTCCTTTAATCTGGAACATTCTTTTTTTGGTTTCTTGGTCTTGACCTTTTTGACAAATATATTATTTTGGAGGCTGTTTCTCAATTTTGGTTTGCACCAGGCATCTTCCTGATTAGAAACAGATCTTACATATCTGTAAGGAATAACACAAAAGTAGTGTATCCTTCTCAGTGCGTCATATCAAGAGGCATTGCTAACAGTTTGTCCTAATGTTAGTGATCAGACCATTAGCTAATTAAGGCGGTGTCTGCCAGATTTGTCCACTGTAAAGCTATTATTTTCCCTTTGCAATTAATAAATATCTTGTGGCAAGAAACATTGAAAGTGTGTAAATAATATGCTTATCATCAAACATTACACATTAGTTTAATATCCACTAATAACTTCCTAGTTTCATCATCTCTTCAATATTTACCGGTTATCATTCTATTGCAAGAAAGTACTTTTCTTTATCCCTAATTTAATTTCATATTTATTTATACCAGCATAGACTCACAGGTTTTATTTTCAGTAATTTGTAATCCATACTATTAGTACATATTTTGACATTCAAATTGCAAAAGACAATTTGAAGTGCTTCAAAATCACTGATAAAACCTTCCTTACCCAATGTACAGACAAGCTGGATCCATGGATAGTGTTAGTATTAGCATATAAAAAACTTCATTTGCTAGTCTCCATGGTGAAGAATCTGACAGAGGTGCCTGTGTACTTTCCTATGGCAGCTCTTTGCATTTCAGGAGAAAATGATGTCCTGACATGGAAAGGCTCCCACTCCCAGATATTCTAGTTCTGTGTATGTTATGAAGTCTGCAGGAATAAACTTTCTTACCAAGAATGTCATTACTTCATAAGAATGGCTTACTATGATTTAGGTAACTCGGGAATCACATTCAGAGAAAAATGTCTAGTAGACATGTAGTAGTAGTGTCTGTCCACCTCACTGTTGTATGACCAGCACGTATTCCATGTAGAAGCTAAATGAGCACTTCTAAAATTCATGAATTAACGGTTGGATTTGGGGAAGCTGAACTGAAGAGGGGGAGGGAGTTTGACATAAATCATAACTAATTTGAATAATTTTCATCCAATACTGTACTTTCAACCAACAATTTCTGAACCTATCCTTAACAGTGTTAGAATGAATTCAGAAACTGTAGACCTCTTTTCCTATTTGCTTGTGTATTAAGAGTCTTCAAGAGGATTTCAATTAGAAACATACATTTTAAGGCAATTCTTGTAATAAAATTACATCTTGCTTGCTACTGGCAGTGTTGTTTGCTTTTAAATCCGTGTGTTCAATACTGGATATTCATTTTTAAGTCATTGCTTCTAATTCTGGCTCCTACCCATAACACCGCAGTCCTCCACTCTTGAACTTTACAACTATTCAAATTGTCTATCGGGAATTCCTCTGCAGTCCTGTTTGATTTGTGTATACGTCAACAGGATGTTACAAAGGTAAAATAATATTTGGAACCTAAAGATTTGCCTACAGAAATGACTATAAATCCATTTCATATGTTTTCTCATCTAGACGCATTAAAGCTAACAAATCATGTTTTTTAAGGATTTCCCCCCTCTGATCACATATTAACCTGGAAGAAAACAATAAGCTTCAGTTACCTGTAATTTCCTACCTCTGTGATGTTCAATACATATATATTTAATAGGTGAAATGATAGCATGATGATATTGAGCTTAAATTGTGAGCGATCATAATAGTGTTAAGACAGAATGGTCCTTAGCCTGGTTCATGTTGTTGCTTCGTCACTTGATGCTCTGGGAACCTTAGCTAATTCATGCAATCCCTTCGAGTTTCACTTTCTTTGTAGGTGAAATGCTAAGAATATGTGTCCTCAGAAAATCTATGTGCAATAATGGTAAAATATACTCCATATAAAGAAGTTTCCTAAATTTCAGTAAAGAAGCATTTATGTGATTTAAGCCTCTCCTGCTATAATTATGTATAATAAAAGTAACATGCAATGCATATTAAGAATAAGAAATACTCTAATTTTTAAAATTTTCACACACTATTTCACTAATTATCTTCAATTTACAGGCTAGATATTAGGTTAAGTTTCAGACTAAGGAAAGTGAATATGAACATTTTTTATGCTTATTCAAAGGAGACTTTTCTTTGGTCCCTTTTCCATGATTATAGGCATATGTATATTCTACCTCTCCATCAGGAACTAGAAGACTAAGTTGTTTCCATTTATTATTCTCTTGCAGAGGGAAACTAGTGCAAAGATTAAGAGATCTGTCTCTGTCCTAAAACATTGGCCTTGTTAACTTCTTATGAGATCAAGTCGTAGGAACACGAAGCTCACTTCTGACCCTCTTTTGATGCTCAAGAGAAAAAAAATAACACAGCAATCTTTACCTTGAACTAGCACTGAGAGAATCCCATATACTCCCAAACAGTGAAATGGCAAAGCAGAGCTCAGCTATCTTTATGAAATTTATAAAGAAAGGCCTCTAGGACCCCCTAGAAGTGGTATAGGTCAGAATTAGTGACTGACATATCACCTGAGAGCTGAAGAAAGACCCAGTCCTCAACTGGCTGCGTTTTCAGGCTGTAGAACACACTGATGAAAGGATTTTGGGGGCTGGGAGATGAGGAGAGTATTTGGAAGAGAAATAACCACCATCTTGATTTATGCCACTTACATCCTTACTATATTACATCCTTTCCATCCAATCTAAAGAAAATCCCTTTCTTAAAGGAAAAATTTAGGGCTTCACTTTGATCTTCAGTAACCACAAATGAAATCATCCAAACACCCTAGAGAGAAAAGATAAATTAAAACACAGAGCCTATATTTAGTTATCTGACTTTAATTCAAGTTGCTTAGGCATCCTGCTCACTTTTCATAGGTGTGCCACAAGTTTTGATGAATGTACACAATTTATTTTCACTAGAATTGAGGTTTCTTACATTTATAACAATATTTGTTAAATGGATCATTAGCTGAATAAATCAAACTGTGTAGTGTAGAGTTGTAGGTTGCTGTAAAGTCAGACAGAGGAGGCCTCAGGCAAAGTTAAACCATCACTCAAAGATGGGAGTCAAATAAGGCAATGAAATAGTCTACTGAAATTCTGAATAACAGAGATCACAATGGTTAAAGGTATGTTAGACCTCCACATTTTATCCTCGTCCTTATCTCTTTAAGCTGCAGCCTAGCTGATTTCTTCCAATCTATCTCTTATTTTATCAAGTCTCTCTTGTGCAGTGTCAAATGTAGTAGTATATGCTCTCTCCATTGACTTTTCAGCTTCAAAGACTGTATTATTCATTTTTAAATGTACAATTTGGTTCTTTTGTAAGTACTTCTCCATCACTGATAATCTCTTTATTATTCCTGTTTCATTCCCTCTTTCTTTAAACATTTTATACATGGATTTTTCTTTTTGTTTCTGATAATTCCAATATCTGAAGTACTTGAGGGTTTCTGTGAACCATCTGATTCATGGTGGTTTGTTTTCTGTGTTTGGTGATTTTTAATTGTTTATTCATATTTGATTGAAGATACTCTGGGAGCTAGGGGCACAACTGGCCTCAAATGATGTTAACCCTGTGGTGGGTCCTGGCTTAATGCAGGTGTCTTGCTGCCTTCCACAAGCCCAGCACTGGTTGACAGCTGCCCACAGAGCAACTTCAGGGTCCCTGTTTGTTTATAGTTCACCTTCAAGGTATCCAGCTTTTTCTTTCTTAAAATTTTTCTTTCTTTTTGCAAAAGTGTAAGGCTTGGTGGCATTTTCCTTATATTTTTTAAGCAATTTTGTAAGCAACAATGCAGTGAAAAGTATAGCAATATGCAGAGAGGGTGGCCCTCAGCATATCTAGTCCGCCATATTGCTATGATATTGTCCATTCTTAGGATAATGAATCCCTCATAATAGGCAATGGATTGCAACATAGCGATGAAGTGCCAGCTTAGCAGCAATATTCATATTTCTTTTTCTTGTTACTTTGAAACACAGAATTTAATGCCATTTTCCCAATTAGGATTTTTTTTAAAAGAATAAATAAAGAATTCTCACACTCTTTGTAAGGAAACTAAAGCCTAATTAAGATTGGAGAGTCTGATTTTGAAATGAATTTCAACTCTCTTCTTATCCTCCCAAACCAGAACACTATTTTTTTGAAGGTCTATGATAATAGAAAATATAATGAGCAAAATCTCAAGTTGTTTTTTCTTCTTTCGTCTTTACCACTTACTTCATGTGTTTCCTTGGATAAATTACAATTATTCTGGGCTTCAATGTTTCTTCATTAAAAATGGTATGACAATGCCTTCCTTGGGCAATTCACAGGTTTGTAAGAAAATTCAAATCACTTATTACATTAGTTTGTTCTGAAACTAAAAATGACATATCGATGAAAAAATTTTATTAAGATATTTTATATTAAAAAGTCAGTCACTTAGAAGAAAACATAAAACTTTAATTACAAGAGGACTCGTTTTCTGTACCAAGTTGTCAGGAGATATAAATTGGAAGTCAAGTTGGTATTACCGTCACAGTTGAGAATGAGGACTATAAAAATAGGCATTGCAGTGTCTCAGGTCTTTTGAGTTAACTGGAATTTGGGAAATTATTTTCTTCCATAATATCTTAATTTGAAACAATTTTCCGTAAATTTTTTAAACACAGCAAAGCACACATCAAGAAAATGTGGCAATAAACTGGGCTCTTCCATTGTCACTGCTTGGTTTCCTGACTTGATTCATATTCACTGCATGGTTTGTATACAGCTATACACTGGTATAGTTCTGAAACAGTAGTTTATTTACTCTATCTGCTAAAAAAAATCTCAAATACCTAATACTCTAGGAAACTATCTTCCTGAAAGGCAGTTTTTGAGCTGAACTAAAATGGTCTCTTCAGTTTCTGACATACGTTCAAACCTCAAGTTTTTACTTAATGTCTCATTTCCAGGGCTAAATGGAACTGGAATTTTAGGATCGATTTTGTGGTCAATTGAATTAGCATTTTCGAAACTTTTATGTCTATTTATTCAAATGAATCTTAGGTAAGCAAAAACATTGTAGAAAAAAATGGGTTTGATTCTTTTTAATATAATTGTAATAGAGTCTCATAAATATGTAGCTATAGCTTCACTGAAAGTTATGCTGGATATTTTACTTATATTAATGGCTCATTTCTCTAAATTTTGTGAAAGAATTTCTGAAATCTATAGTAAAAGAACAGCTTTACAAATGTGCAGTGTTTCTTCAGCATGCCCTCATAACTGGAGAGGTTGGATCTGATAGCCATGTTACCTTAGAAAATTAAAATGTCAAAAGCCATTTGCTTTACTTTAACATTTAGCCTCAAATTGTGTTTGTGTGTGAATGCTCAATATATTTAATATAAAATATACGCAATTTGAAGCCTAATATATTAAACTTGTGTAGTGAGTTCTTTTGCCTATTTTTTGCCTTTAAAATTATTATTACAGGTAAAATGCAATTGCTATATATTTAACTGACCTGTTGATTTAAAAAGTTAATTACTTTTGAAGTATTGGTTGTATTCAACATACAACATATTCCAGATCTTGATATACAAAAAACATAGTGCTGATACTCACCAAAAATATAGCATGAAGCAGGTGAATCATATAATTTTTCCTGCTTATAGAAATATAAGCCACTAGCATAATTTCATTAATTAATGCAATGACAATGTAAGAGTTAATGTTTTTGAGTGTGAGTATGCTGTACTTCTCAATATTATCAATAGTGACATGACCATTAATGTGTTTGTGTATAATGCTTGTTTACATGAGCTTCAAGTAACCAGATCACTGATAGCTAAAGCTGAGTAGAAGGCTTATTAACACTCATTTGATGAGTAGACCATCACTGACTAAACAGCAATATCCTGTGTATACTATTTTTTTAATCTCCAATAGCTTTTTCATTTATAAAGGCTAAAATGAGCTACTGCAAGATCTTGGAAGTGCTTTTTGAGTCATCAAAACAAGAGTACAGGATGTTTCAGGTTAAGTGAATAATACTGTACTCTAATTCTAGGAAATGTATAAATTATTAATTATACATATGCCACTCATGCCTGACAGAACGACTGAATTCTCTAGATCTCACTTTCTCCATCTCCTCCGGAGGTCTGAGAGGTCACCTAACTCGCAGTCATCACTGTCTTTGAATTGTCTTTGTTCCCGTGCATTTGGGAGCCACGGCGAGGCTGGGATCCTCTAAAGGTGCTCATCTTCCACTGAGTCATCGTCATGAGTGGAAAAGAATTGCTCTTTATTTGTAATCTTTTGCCCACGCTGATATCATTAATTATTATTCATGATTGAATGAGTTTGAGTTAGACTCCAATCTTTAAAGACCCTATGATTGTTTTTGAATATTGGCATCAATTAATTATGCCAATCATCTCTTTGAATATTCTTTTCCCATTTAGGATACTAATTGCATGGATTCTTTTCTTTACTGCATATTTCCAAAAACAAATTATCTGTGTTTACCATATAACAACAAATATAAATATAATCAACTTATTACATAATTTCCATAATAAAATGTTACATTTTTACAGTGCTTTACAGTTTACACAGCACTTTCACTTAATCATCTCACAAGCCTCTGAAACAGACAGGATAGTAATTAACTCAATTTTAATCATTTAGACATAAAGGTTCAGAGAATTTGCATGGCATCCAGGGCACAGCAAAGGGTGCTGGAACTGGCTTCTGACCCAGATTTTATAACCACAGACTAGCGGTACTTCCTAGTACACCACACTGATGCTCAAACGGCCAGAACCCAGCGACATTCCATAATAAATAATTCACACCCCATGTTCTGTGTTAACAATAAGATCGCATCTACACAATAAAATGAAACAATTATCCAGAGAGTTCAGCTAAATGCTCTGCCCTTAACATCAAAATCTTTCTCCTAATTTAAGTTAGATTCTTAAAGCAAATACAATATTGCTCCCTTCAGTTAGTATGTGATTTTCTAGTCTTACTGCCTAACAGACTAACAGATATTTGCCAAATGGCAGTTTGTTAATGACAAACTGGCATTAACAAGGTAATATTAGACTATTTTCTTAAGGTCGCTTCAGATGTACTTCCCAATGCCCCCAAACTCACACACACTCACACACACACATACTCACACACAATGTCCTTTTCAGTAAAACTCTGAGCCAGCACAAGTTAGGATAACAATAAAAAAGTGTCAGAATGTCACACACACTTGCTATCTTGTTTTTGTTTGAAAAATTACCCCTGAAATTAATCTTTACAATGTCTGACAATTTACAGCCTCAGGTAACTCCCATTTTTCTTAATCCCACTCCTCTGAAACAATTTCAATTACACTCAAAATGTAAGTGCTCTTACTCCTTTCTTTCTCTTTTGATTATGATGATGATTAGACAGCTAATATTACTGTATTAGTTTTCCTTGCCAAATTTTCATACACCATCGTATATACACACAATATACATTATTAATAATTTAAAAAGAACTGCCTATATATTTAAGATTAAATAAACAACACAGAGGAACAGAAAATGAATTTCCTTATCTATTGTCATATACATCGCATTGCCTCCAGCCATCTGTGACCAGAAAGAGTTAGGCTTAAGCTGAAGCTTTCTTTTAATCAATTTTAATTAGATCAACTGTAAATAAACCTTTAAATAGTGATTTAAAAACAATTAAGGTAATGAAAACAGTTTGTAAGTTAATAGATGTCAAATTAAAATTGAAAATTTGGAGATCAATGTTTATAGCTAGTGCTTAAAAACTTAAAATATTTAAACGAAATTGTTTTTGCCTCTTGCACTACCTTTAACTTTAAGCTTCTTTAGTTTTTATGTTTGAATATAATGCTAACAGTCGTCTATTTATTTGCACATAAGTTTGTTTGGGTAGGTGGGCCATACCACAACTATCTCTCAAACCTTGTATGACTACACCATTTACATCAGAATAAGTGCTGAGGCCTGCTATCGTCCAGTGTAGTAAACATAATAGTGCTTGAAGTTAAAATAATTTAAAAGATTCTCAGAGGGCAGAGTGAAAAGGCAGTGAAAACATTCTTGCATCCTGCCTGTGTCTAGCAGGTCTCTAACTAAAGACAGTCAGCCTCAGCTGAGCTTCATTTCAAGGGAAAAAGTTGACCTTTTTCCTAGGTAATTGCTTGTAGAAAGATCTACTCATTGCCTGCACATAGCTACTCTTGTTGTCTCGTTCCTGATTTTGGTCTGCGGCTGACTTTAAGATGTTGCTTTACCATAAAGATTGATTTGTGAATCCAGAATGATAATTTAGGCTTGATCTGTGCAAGTCACTTTCTTGATAAAATTTAGTTTTCATATTCTTTATCTAGTAAAATTACGCAATGATAATTCAGAATAGAGGTTTGGGCATAATTCCTTGACATGGTCAATAACAAGTAAAATGCAAATAATTAAATTGTTCAAAACTTGCATTACTTTGCGCATTTTGAGTTTCTAATGGTGCTCCCATATGGATAAATGGGAAACATTTAAACTTACTGGCTTCCTAAACTATTGTCTGCCCTTGAAATTATTAAGCCATTGTTTCCCATAATGAAGTGGATCCTCTAATTTTCTACTTTAGCTCCAAGGATTTGATACTAGGAAATCACTACCACTTGCATCCATATTTAGTAGTAGGATAGAGCATAAATTCCTTCCACGTCGTTATTTGATATTCTAGTCATTCATACTATATTTACAATCATGAGGTTTCCTTTTATAAAGTAATTTAAGTAGTGGAGTGTTGGCATTTAACTGGTTCTGTAGAAAAAAAAACAAAACGGTAGTGTTTGCTGATTTCCAAGGTGGTCTAAATATTACCACCATGCTGACCTACGAAAATATCACTAGAAGTGAATTTGGGAAGAGATGTGCATAACTGGTTCTTGGGAGTTGGTTCTAGCTGGTTCCAGTACACCACTGAATTTTAGTGACTGAATAATAATTTTTTAAATGTGTTTGGAGAATCTCCTAACCAGCTTTAACATTGATTTTGTCAGTTGTTCTGGCTTAAAACAGCTTCTCTCTCAAGTGTTATGTCAGATATTCATATACAGCATCAGATTTCAGAGGAAAACAGAAAACTAACAAATTCACCACTATTACAACTGAGCTTGGCTAGAGTACTTCATATAAATCCATCTTAATATAAGGGATATTCTTCCAGCCATATCAAGCATTTTTTAAAAATACCATTGAATCAAGTTCAATACTCTATTGATATAATCTTCCATACATAAAATAGCAATTGGGTATATGAAAGAATTTCATATCTTTATTTAAATTTGAGCCTTTCTTTTACCAACTTATTACTAGCAAATATGAGAAAAAAATTTAAAAAAACAAAAAAATATATATACTTTTAAAGGAGAGAAAGTACGGTGAGTGATAATGATGTTCTTTTTCTAAAATACATTCATTCAAACCTCCTTTAGTGATATGTGCAACAATCAGCAGTTTTGACATCACAATCTGAATGTACTAAACTATTTTATCTTCTTGCAGACAACAGCGAGAGTATTGCAAAACTGTTTTCTCAGCATCTTGCTGATTTAACACCTATATAATTCCTGCACCACACTCTGATTTTATTGACTTAGGTAAGTGTACTATGGTTTTGTTTTTTATTTATTTGAAAAACTTACTAACATGTGTGACTAAAAGTCATGAACAGCATCTTTTCCTCTGTTACAAAGTTGTTTTTTCATCATATGTATATTAATACAGCAAGAAGCATATCTAGCTAGACATGAAACAGTGCCTACAAAACTTTATTCAAATCAAAGGACTGTTTGCAGATAATTGGATTGACTGAATTATTTATTTTGATGAAGCTGAAGGCCACTTTCACATACTTCATTTCTAAAGGTGGGCTGCAATTTTACAGAATCCTACGTAGTTTCTCCTCATGTAATCAAAATATTGAAATTCTGGTTCTAGTGTTTGTCTTTCAGAAAGAAGCACTTTTAGAACATAATTTCCTATCCAGTGTCCACTATCGGTAGATTTCTTAGGAATCCAACAATAAATTCTTTTTTAAAGAAAAGAAAGAAAAAACTCCATTCTTACTGAATATGCACACATTCAACTAGTAGTAATCTAGGAAAAGATGATAAAGTGGCAATATCATTTTAGTCATAAAATTCTTCTTCTAAGAAGCCCGTCTCAAATTTAAACACACATGATCATTTGAAATTGTTCTCCTCACTTTGGCACATCTAAACCAGTAGAGAAATTATACATTGCTTGGTTAATTCTTGAGGAACACATTTGCATCAGAATTTAAAGATGGGTTTTCAAATTTATAACATTACATTGTTTAAGATATATATTTAAAAAAATCAGTCTTTTACTCAATATGTATACAGCAAAAGAGTTTGGAGTCTGGAGCATCTACAACGTTGAAAAATAAATCTTGCTTCAAAGAAATTCTCAATTCTCTCTGAAATCTTTCTAAAATACAAATATTTTATTCCAATGTTTTGCACATTCTAATGGCTCACACAACTTATGCATCCTTGTAGCTCTGCTCCTGTCTGAGATGTGAACTGCAACAGGGCTCAATTGCAGCACCATTTTTTCTCCATTTCCATGCTTCATTTCTTTTGTGTAGCTCAGACTGAAGAAAAATCAGCATGTTCTGACGAGCTTATACTATGAGGCAGTAAGATGGACCTGAATTTAGTGGAGATTGGAGCTCCAAAATAACGATAACACCATGTGTCAAATAAAAAAGAAAAGATATTCTCCTGTACAAATCAGAAGAGATAATAAAAGTCAACGAATAGACAGCAACTTTTTTTCATACCTACACAAGCATCTCAAAACGATTGCAAACTTTAAGAATGATTTACCTTTTTCTTATTTGGAACACTTCATAATTTATTTCCCTAACAACGGTTTATGTTGCCTTAAACCAAATTTTATTGGCTTGCATTGGGGAGGATTTCTAAGAATTTATATATTACTAAATAAAATATAATTTGCTAACCAACAGCAATAAAAGTCTGCTGGAGTCTATAATCTAGCAAGCTAAAAGCATCACTGTAAATTAAATTTGTCCCAAGTTTTGATATGCAGGAAGTTCCAGAACTTTTCAATGGCACATGGTGTTCTATTCCTCTCATTGGCAGTACCATGAAGGCATGTACAGGGCATCCTTGGTTCGCTGATAACACAGGGCACTACTTAACTCATAGAGGTTAGGTGCCTTTGCAGGTATCTGAGAGTTGCTATCTATTCACAAACCACTGAGCATTTCTTTTTATCAAAAAGCCTTCCAATGCTCAGAGTCTGTGGTCAGTGCAGTCCCTTGGATAAGTCTAATGCAGATCTGCTTCACCCAGGCAGAAACCGAAACAGGTAAAAATGGAGACATATTTACAACTATTTCCTCTAGAAAGTGGAGTTCTTATTTTCTGTATGTAGTGGTGTTTTTTGCTTTTACTTTTCCTTCAGTACATTTCAAATTAAGGTTCCAGGGCTATGAGTACAAACTCTCCTGGCCAGTTCCATACATGTCTGCAAGTCGTTTAAAACGAGGTCCCCAGTCACTTAGGTAGTCATAATTCTGATCAGAGTTTGAGCTGATGGAATCTAAGGAGCTGAGTGATTCAGCTACTGAGCCGTTCCCTTCAAATGCGTATGTCTGCAAGGAATCATAAGGCGGGGCGCAGGGATCAACATCAGCTTCTTTCAGTCTTTCCCAAATAAATTCCCGAAAAATGACATTATCGGGGATGCTTTTAAAAGTCGGTCGACTCAAGAACTGAATTTCTGGAGTCACATCCCTCCGAGTCTTGGTATCTCTGATGACGTTGAGGTTTCTCAGTGCGGCCATGTCAAAAGCTTCTGTGTCTTCCTCTCCCCCGCCTTCATCATCATATCGAACAATATTTTCTCGGATATCTCTCTCTTCGTCAAAAATGAGGGGCTCTTTTTTCCGTCTTCTCATGGTGACAATCAGGAGGATCAACACTGAAACAAGGAAAGAGCAAAGAGAAAGTTTCAGTAAACTCACCGACTGCCCCTCATCATAGTATAATGAAGCCTAAGATGTTGACTCAGATTTTCTGACCTTTAAAGGGAAATGAATTGGCCTACATGGGAATTCACAGCAGTAGATGTGCTAAAATGCCTTTAAAATAGAACACTTTTATACATCAAGAAACCCTTCTCCACACCTGTTCAGAATTCATGTCTCTCTCTTTAATGTAACCTCCAAAGTATTTGATAGAGCAAATTGAAGGGCCAGTCAGGATAAATACAGTCGTTTCAAAGCCATGAAACATGATGGGGTTTTTTTGAACTCCTTAATTGCTGGAAAGGCAAAGTGACAATCATAAATGTTTTGGGTTTAATTTAACAACTGCAATTTCAGAAGGAAATGGATTACAGCATTTGATCAGGTTCTTTGAAGAAATGCCTAGAACTTGTCTATGAAACTCAGCTGTTAAATAAAATCTAGCATGTCAGACTATACACAAAGATTAAAAGCTTCTCTATAATAAACCGAATTCCACTTTCAGTATCAAATGCTGAACTTGGTCTTTATGCATTGTACTGAGAGAGAGAGAATGCAGGTTGTGAGGTTTTCGGCATTAGCTAAAGACAAATTTAAGAAATCCATCATTCCTTTAACATTAGGCATTTTTCTTCCTATATCAAAATTAATAATTAAATAACAAAGCACATGATCACACTGGAAAGCAAAGGAGAACAAGTACACTGACTATTCTTTGAGTTTAAACTGAGTACAATCTTTGTATTTTTAAAAGTATACACTAACAAGCAGTTTGCTCTGGCTATGAATGACTGAATGACAGCTGAATTGGGAACACATTAGATTTCATGGCCCCTTGAATTAACTCAAAATAAAGTAGAAAAGGTATTCTTGAATTTTGGAGTCCAAAAATACATAAATTACTGAATTAACTTTAATTATCTATCTACAAATATCTTTTTAACAATTTTTATCGCATCAGCCAAGTTTTTTTCTGGAAGGTCTGTTATTCTCAGTATACTTTTTTTTAAAGAAGTTTGAAATATTTATATTTAAAATAGCTTGTAAAGTTTTACTTTGACATTAAGAATACATTTAAAAATAAAAATATAAAACGGTGAAGGACACCAATGTAGCTCAGAGTAATTAGATGCAATGACTAGGGGTGAGGCATGTTCCATCCTCCACCTTGATCTGCTTTACAAAAACCCAAAAATCTAAGTACATATTTAATTTTAAATAAAATGATTTTATTATCTTCAATGAAAATTATGTGCTTTCTTAAACGTTTGTCTATCTGCTTTTCAATCATCAACGGGAATGTGACTGATGAAAGATCTTTGGGAATAGCTGTGAAACTAATTCTTTATTATGACATTTTCCTTTCCCCGCCTTTTCCCATTTGACCTTGGCCTACTGCTCACCCATAACTTTACTGACAGTCTACAATTTAGAAACTGAGATACATTTTTTAGCTTGTTTGGCCATGTTCCTATGGCACATACACACCTATTGTCTTTTTCGCTCTTATTTACTACCTTTGAATGTACTCAACTGGCTTCATCAAAATAGCAGACATGTAGTTCAAAAGCTAGTGCTTGTATATCATTCATCTCTCAGTCTGTTCCCATAAGTAGTCTGGTATTCACTGTCCTTCCCTGCTAAGTGGATGCCCACTTAACTCTTGTCCCTTCTTGTCTTCTGAGAATTAGCATTTCTCCAACTCCAAAGCCTTTTGTTTTTCAAGGTCCACACCGTTATGTTGCAATAGAAACACATTAACAAATGATTAACACGCTTCTGTTGTAACATGCTGGCATGGACCTTGAAAACTTATACATAACTTTGGTGTTAGAAGGCCTTGGATAAATGTCCACCCTTTCTACATATTAGCTGTGTGATCTTCGGCAAGTAACTTTAACTGAACCTAGCTATATATGACAATTATAGCCAACTTCAATGTTCATGGGGTGGATTAAAGAGAGACAGAGAGACTGCGTAATAATGTAAGGAGAGTTAGCAGAATGCTAAGAGCTTATTGGTGTTTAACAGAGACGTTTTCATTGTTATCCTCCAGCCTACCAGGAATGTTAATTCGAAATTCCACGAACACAGCAAGTGAAGATGTGTTTAGGCGACAAGCCAAGTAAAAGGTACCAAATATTTGGCAAGGCAAGTGCACTAAGGATTAAATGGGAGAAGGAAAAGGCAGTAGGCTGAGAAAGGAAGGTCTGCATACAGGACATATCATTTGACCGTCACAGCAATCCTGTGGGGGAAGTATTTTCCTATCGGATGGTTTTCTTAGGCACGTGAAACAACCTGTCTATGGTCAATGTAATAAAACATGATAACCATGGGTGAGACACACTCCACTTTCACCTGCTTTCAAAGCCTTTGCATTTTCTATCACACTGTGAGCTTAGTGCTCCCATAGAAGGTAACTGAGATACAAGCCTAGAGCTCAAGTGACAGCTGTTTGCTCAAAGAAAGACACAGTACATTTTAAGACATATGAATGAAGAAAATTGTTTTAGATTGTACATAACTTTGGTTTCTGAAACTTTTTACATTGTCCCCCCCAAAATAAAAATAATGGCAATGGAAAGAAAGGAGGGCCACATAAGAATTCTTACTGAGAAGTCAGAGTAAGAGAGAAAATGGAGAGATGAATATCAGAGAGAATTGTGACAGGTGGACAGGTGGAGGTTACACATATTGGAGTGCAAAATTGAGGTACAGCAAAAGGACGTAAGAAATGAATGGGAAGAGGGGTGAATGTGGTTACAAAGAGGGTAAGAATTACGTAATAATTAGATGCTCGTTTAATTTAAATCAATGTCTAAGTAGGCAAAACATTTCAAAATTCTCAATTCTCTTTTTTTCATATAATGATAATGAATCTTGTCATATATACACAAACAATTCTCTTTTTTTTTGTGAGGAAGATTGGCACTGAGCTCACATCTGTTGCCAATCTTCCTCTTTTTGCCTAAGGAATACTGTCATTGAGCTAACATCGGTGCCAGTCTTCCCCTATTTTGTATGTAGGACACTGCTACATCATAGCTTGATGAGCGCTGTGTACGTACCTACCCGGGATCCGAAATCACGAACCCCGAGCTGCTGAAGCAGAGCACATGAACTTAACCACTGTGCCACTGGGTTGAGCCTAAACAATTAATCATTTTTTATATTCTATTGTAAATATATGTTCACATTACCAATAAACTTGCCTTTTGATGCTGAAGGATAGTAGTGTTCGGCAAAAGTGAAAAACGAGAGCACCCATGGGTGTGTTGGCCCATAGGTATAATACTCATTAAGGATATTAATATTTTATGGAGTCTGTGTTATTTCCCAATCTTGCCTAAAGCTGAAAAAAGTGTGAAGTGGTTTAGAAGATTAGATAATTTAACATTTCAATGACTTGGGAGAATATTAATTTCTAACTTCTTGAGCACATATAAAAAATAAATTTTAACCTTTACATAGTACAAGTATTAACTGCTCTTCAGGGACTAAAAAGATAATCCCTGTATTAAAAAGAATATTTTCTGCCTAAGTAAGCACAAGATTTTAGACTTTAAGAGGTTTTATCATATGTCTTTTCTGTCATATGGATTGGACTACTGAGTGGAGACAGAAGAAAAGATTTAGGTTTAGTTGAAGTCTAGACATGTGGTACTTACAGTGTGCTCGCTGTTCATGAATTTATATATCCATGTAACAATACGCGTTAACCATTTATGCATTAGGTATCATGCTATAATGTTGCACATAGAAGTAGATATAATACATTTCCTTGTGGAGCTTATAATTAAATGGTGCAGACAGATAGTAATCAAATAATAAGAACTAAATGGAAAAGTAGAACTGTGATAGTTATTCTAAAAGAGGGAAACATGATCTTTTAAGGACATGTATCAGGGGAAAAACATCCCAATGAAGATGATTTAACTGAGGGTAACTGAAGGCTGAGGGCTGGATGGAGGTGGAGAGGTGATACGGAGAATATTCTTGGCACAATCAGTGAGTAAAGATTTGAAGCCAGTGTGGTTCAAGAGCAAAGAAAGAGAGGTGGGAGATAAGGTTGGAGATGCAGGCTCCCTGCAGGCCCAAGAACTAGTGTGTTTTAAGTACCACATGGTATGATCAGATTTGTTTTTCAAAAAACAAAATCATTCTGGGGACCGGCCTGTGGCCATGTGGTTAAAGTTTCACGTGTTCTGCTTCGGCAGCCTGGGTTCACGAGTTTGGATCTGGGCATGGACCTATTCCACTCATCGGCCATGCTGTGGAGGCATCCCACACGCAAAATAGAGGAAGACTGGTGCAGATTTCAGTTCAAGGCTAATCTTCCTTAGGTAAAAAGAAAGGAAGATTGCCAACAGATGTCAGCTCAGGGTAAATCTTCCTCACCAAAAAATAAATCATTCTGATTGGACTAAGGATAGGAAGAAGGGAAGAGTAGATGTGAGAAAAGAAGTCAGAATGGTATTGCAGCAGTAAAACTATAATGTTGATCTTAATTTCTGGTTTTAGAGTTCAGTTTCATAATGTTCAATTCAACATTTTCTGAGTCTCCCAGTATGTAGGAAATAGTGCTGGGTGCTGGCAAAATCACAACAAGAGAGGATCCCTACATCCAAGCAGCTTAAACTTTGAAGGCCATGTATACACAAGTAAATATAATACAAATTGCAATGCAAGTCACTGAAAGAAGGTACAGACACCCATAGGTATGAAGAAGCATGCAGATCAGAACCCCCCATTCTCCCAAAACCGAGAGAAAGGAAGGGAAGATGGAGAAAAACACAGAAGTGTAAAACACACACCATACTATAAACGAGTGGGCCCCTTTATTCTCAACTTCACTGTGGTCATGACCTATCCAGATATTTAAACTGGAACATGGTTTTTACTGAATCACCTTGAATGTATTTCAGTCCTACTTTCCTAGCCACCTTCCTAG